CTTAGTCCAGGGAAGAGAGGAGACAGGTTTCACCTGGTTATCAGGGGTCATGGGAAGGGCTGTAGGAAGGGAGGAGGTCACCTAGAGGACAGTCTAGGCCTATGCGGCTTTTTGTCCTCATTCGGTAGTTGGCTTTTCTCAACTGGCTTTGAGTCAGTGCTTTGTAATGAGACAATCTCGAGCCCTGAATATACTTTGAGGCCTCAAGATGCCAATTGAAATCTGTGTCCCATACAGACTGTTTGCCACATAGTTGCAGTCTCCTGATTCAGTTCTAAGGAAGCCCAGCATGGGGCGTTCAGCTGACCCGCAGGGGCCCACAGGGGTTCCAGTTGTCCTTGGTGCAATTTGCCCCATTCTTATAAGCATGTGGACAACAGTGAGGCAGAATGCTTGGGTATGGAGCCAGCTGTGGGCCCTGTAGGAGGGAGAATTTAAAGCCTCAGGCAGAGTGTTCTGGTTTCAGAAGCACCTGTCACGGCTGCTTGTACCCAGTGAATGATTGTACCTGGTGGATGCTCGTGTCTGGTGAACACTTGCGCTTGGTGGATGCTTGCGCTTGGCGGACAACCTTTGCCTGAGTCGTTCACCTTGCAACCACAGTAGGGCCCTTGTTGCATGGAAATTTTCCAGACACTGGCAGGCCCCCTAGTGGTGATGCTGCTTGTCAGTGACCTGGTCATCCTTTCCAGGAGTCTTTGACATAGGAAACTAGAGTCTGTCACAAAATGGTGGCAAGCACCCTAGTGACTCTTAAGTGCTCTGCCTGTGTCCAACGTGTTGTATGATTTTGCTCTCAAAAGATGTTTAGGATCCTAACATCAAAAGATGTTTAGGATCATACAACGTGTTGTATGATTTTGCTCTCAAAAGATGCTTACGCCTATAATCCCAGCACTTTGGGAGGCTGAGGTGAGAGGATTGCCTGAGCCCACGGGTTCAAGACCAGCTTGGGCAACTTAGCGAGACCTTATCTCTACAATAAATCAAAAACTAGTCAGGCGTGTGCCTGTAGTTCCAGCTACTTGGAAGGCTGAGGCAGAAGGATCACCTGAGCCCAGCAGGTCGGGGCTGCGGTGGTCGTGAGCTGTATGCCACTGCACTCCAGCCTGGGCAACAGAGTGAGATTCCAACTCAAAAAAAAAAAAAAGATGTTTAGAAAGATGTTGGTATACCTGTAATCCCAGCTTCTCAGGAGGCTGAGGCAGAAGGATCGCTTGAGGCTAGGAGATTGAGGCTGCAGTGAGCTATGCTCACACCACTGCACTTCAGCCTGGGTGGCAGAGTGAGACCCTGTCTCTAAAAAATTAAAATAAACAAATAAATAAGATGCCAGCCAATCACAGTTGTTCATGTCTGTAATCCCAGCACTTTGGGAGACCAAGGCAGGAGGATCGTTTGAGCCCAGGAATTTGAGGACAGCCTGGCAACATAGTGAGACTGTATCTATACAAAAATAAAAAATAAAAAAATTAGCCAGGTGTGGTGGCACACGCCTGTAGTCCTAGCTATTCAGGAGGCTGAGATGGAGGAATCACTTGAGCTCAGGAGGTCGAGGCTGTGTTGAGCTGTGCTTGTGCCATTGCACTCTAGCCTGGGTGACAGAGTAAGACCATCTAAAAACAATGAAAACAAGGGGGGAAAGTCTTTAATTTGTGTGCAGGCAGCCAAAAAGGAAACCAAAAAATACTCACCAGAAAGGATGTGATGTCCTCAACAGAAACAAATACCAAATAAAGGAAGGCATTTGAACCCAAGAGAGGACTTACCGCATAAAGGGAACTCATGGAAGTAGAGAATGCAGTGGCACAGGGGCGCCATAGTTCCAGGTGGTGCCTTGAGGAAAGGCCTGTCTGGACGTACTGGATTGAGCGTGAGAGACACCAAGTCACTAAGCAGTTTATTCTAGAATAGCAAGGGAGTGCAACCTGGGCTACTCGTGCTTGGGCAGGTCATAATGCACCTGAGGGGACTGAGACATGGGGCTTTTAAAGGCAAACGAGGGCAGTCCACATGAGCCACTTTGGGACAAAGACCACTGACTATGGGCTTACTGAAGATGGTGGCATTTGTCCACTGGTGGTGCTAGCAGTCATAGCGGAGGGTCTTCAAAGAAGAGGTTAAGCTAGAGAGTTCTGGAGGGAAGGCACCCATATAGACCCCAGCTTCATGCTGGTCTCACTGCCCCAGCAGGAACAAGGGTCATGGCCATGCTCCTAGTTCACACCCACCCATCCCACCCCAATGGGTTTTCAACCTAGAAAGAAACTCAGAGACAAGCTCTCAAGAGCAAAAGATTTTATTTGGGAATGGCAAAGGGTTGCAACCTTTGCCATTGAGGTATGTTTGATATTGAGGTATGTTTGGTCTTTGTCCCTGTTGGGGCTGAGAAAGCAACACCTCAGTACCTGGCACATTGACATGCTGACCAAAAATGCCTCAAGACCACTGAGGACTAGACCCAACCTTTCCCCTCTTATCCAAACTCCTAACTAAAAGGCTTGGGGAGTCACACCTGATAGTCACACACAGATGAAGGAAATCAAAGTATTGTATGACCCTGCATAGTTGTCTCTTCAGGGTTCCCAGACTCCAGGTACCTTGTCCTTTACCAATTTCCAAAATTTCTTAGATAAGAACTACAAATTTCCAGTCAATAAATATTTAAATCTACCTATGACTCGCAAGCCCCTGCTTGGAAGTGCCCCTCCTTCCTGAGCTGAACCAATAAAAATCTCACATGTATTTATTTATGGTTTTTGTAACTTCTGCCTCCCTACAATTGTATATAATTAAGCCACCATTCAACCACGGGGGGACATGTTCTCAGAACCTCCTGGGGACATACGTCACGGGTCTAGATCCTCAAGTTTGTACCATTTAAAAATATTTTGCCGGGCTTGGTGGCTCAGCCTGTAATCCCGCGCCTTTGGGAGGCTGAGGTGAGTGGATTGCCCGAGTCCACGGGTTCGAGACCCACCTGGGCAGGCAAAACCTCATCTCTACAATAAAATAAAAAAATTAGCCGGGCGTGGTAGCGCGCGCCTGTAATTTCGACTACTCAGAAGGCTGAGGTGGAAGGATCGCCGGAGCCCAGCAGGTTGAGGCTGAGGTGGCCTCCAGTCTGGGTGACAGAGTAAGACTCCAACTCAAAAAAAAAAAAAAAACAGTTTTTTACCAAGTTTGGCATCTTTTCATCATCTTCTCTCTGACCCCTGTCCCATCCATCAATCCTCTGCCTCTCCCAAAACACAAAATGAAGTTGTTCTCAGAAGTCCCTTATCCACCTAAAGCCCAACCCACCAAAGAAGAAGAAATGACCTCCTGCCCCTTCCCTGAGTTCTCATTAGTTGAACTCACATTGTAAGAAGAACCGAAGTCCCTCCACACTCCTGGACAGACTTTTGTCTCAAGCCATTGGGATAAACTCTGGGGCCCAACAGACATTGTCCCAGGTCATTGTCTGTTCCTTAAGTCCTTTGAACTCCCCTAGAAATCATTTACTAGTCCCCTAAAATCACCCACACCTCCCCAACTCCTCTTCCTCTAAGAAGGGCATACAAACATCTGCACCCCATTTTGTGGTGGGCGATCACTCTCTCCTGTGCATACCTTTTCTCTCTCTCTGTCACCCAGGTCATAGCTCACTGCAGTCTTGACCTCCTGATTTCAAGTGATCCTCCTGCCTTAGCCTCCCAAGTAGCTGGGACTACAGGTGCATACCACCACAGCCAGCTAATTTTTAAATTCCTTTTTGTTGTGATAAGGTCTTTGCTATGTTGCTCAGGCTGTTCTTGAACTGCTGGACTCAAGCTGTCCTCCTACCACACCCTCCCAAAATGCTAGGATTACAGCCTTGAGTCACACACTCAGTCGTCTTCTCCTAATAATCTGCCATTGGTCAGTTGATTTTCAACCAACCTTCAGAGGGAAAGGGGAGATTTTCCCTTGACCCCTACTCTGTCTCCTGGCACATGACACCAAAAATCCTCGAAATCTCCAAAGTATAAGAGATGTTTTGTGTGCTAATGAGTTGACTAGTGGCTGACAGCACCCAGGGAGCTTCAAGGTAGAGTTGGTCACCAAGAAGACCAAGGCAGGATTAGAGAGTTGGGACTCTCAGGCCTCCTTGCTCCTTCCCCACGTCTGGGGAGAGGAGAGGAAATGAAGGTTGGGGTGATCACCAAAGGCTAGTGAGTTAGTCAGTCATGCACGAGCAATGAAGCCTCCATGAAAACCCAAAGGTCTGGGCTTGGAGAGCTTCCGGATAGCAGAACACGGGGAGGGTCCTGGAGGACGGAGCTCAGGGGGGGCATGAAGGCTCCCAGTTAGTCCCCATGCCTCTATCTGTCACCTCCTCATCTCTATCCTTTATCTTAAACCAGGAAACCTGAGCGTTCCTCTGAGTTCTGTGAGCTCTTCTAGCAAATTAATGGAACCTAAGAAAAGGGTACTGGGGTCCCAGGCTGATGCTAGTCAATCAGAAGCACAAGCAAGACAACCAGGGCTTGGCGTCGTGGCCAGGTGGAGCTGAAGTGGAGGACGCCCGCTGCCCTGCGGCGGGACTGCGGCTTGCCTGGGTGCAGGGACCCCTCCGGTGTCGGGATCATAGGGCCGTGTGGCAGCAAAGGAGTCCGTTCACTCAGTATGCTAGGAAGAGTGAGGCCCACCCGAGGAGAAGCAGGCGGAGAGGGGAAGCCCCTGCAAATCGTTCTGGAAGTGTCAACCTGAAAGACGGTGGAGGGCATGGTCCCCAGATACGGAGCCTGCTCAAGGGGACAGAAGAATCGCAGACCTGACGCGTAGCGGCCTGCAACTGGGACAGGGGTGGAGGCGCAGCGTCAGGATACGGCGTTGATGGGCTGCTGACGTAGGGTCACGGCCGCCGCCAGGCCTTGTGAAACGCGTCCTGGGCACTGTCCCGTACGGAATCCGCCCCCCCTGATGGATCCCGCCTCCTTGCCGCGCAGGCCCCGCTCTGAGACGTACGTCATCACCGCGCGACGCGACGCTTGCCCGGGACTTCACGAACTGCGGCCGGGGAAGCGCCGGCACCAGTTGTGCTTTGGCCGCCTGAGTGGTTCGGTCCGTGTCCTCCGCTTTCCTGTCAGTGGGGGTCCAGACTGTCGGTCCCCAGGCCTTCCGCAGCGACAGTGGAGGCCGCAGGTTGGCGCATCGTGTGGGCGGGGAGCAGTTTTGGGGCCGGAGGACCTGGGCTGATCTGTCCTGGACTGATCTGTCCTGGACCTTGTACCCGGGTATCCAGCGGAAGGTGAAGGGCGGGGGGACTTCCTCTGCAGACACGCTCTGGGCTTCTGTCCAGTTGAGGCGAAGGGAGGCCGATGGCGGGCTTAAGACATTGAGCTGGGTGTCCGTTTTCGAGGCCGCAGAAGTCTTTCCGGGGCTTCTTCCTTGGTTAGAGCTAGCGCTGGCGCTCGCGGCCGTGCAGTCTCCCAGCTGGAGTCTGAGCATTAGAAATTGCGCTTTCAACTCGGACACCTCAGCACAGACTTCCCTGGGGATCTGTGTCACAGCAAAAGCAGCCCTGGGCCTCCATTCTCTTTCTGGAGATGACAATCTCCATCTCACCGGGCTTTTATGGAAACCAGCAACGACCTTAGGGAGCAAGTGTACAGCAGGCCCCACGGTTCACACTCACGCTATTGAGGATGGCACCTCTGACTTGGGACCTTCCAGAGTGGACAACCCGGGCTTACCGACTCAGGATCTTTTGGAGTAGGGTCTGGCGTCTGCTGTTAGAAAAACCTGTCCAGGTGGCTATAACCTGAGAAGTCCGATGGTTCCTGGGAGAGGTTAGCAAGTGACCTGGTGACTCCATGCCTGTGGGAGACCTACTGGTGTCTGTCTTCATTCTGGGCTGGGATTTGACGAGGACAATTAGGTGGAAGAGCCTTCCTTTAAAAAATATCTCGGGGTCGGGACGTAGTGGCTTATGCCTGTAATTCCAGCGCTTTGAGAGGCGGAAGTGGGAGGATCGTTTGAGACCAGCTTTGTATCCTATCTTTACAAAAAAATTAGCCAAGTGTGGCAGTATGTACCTGAAATCCCAGGTACTTAGGACACTGATGTAACAGAGCAAGACCCTCTCTAGAAAAAAGAAAAATAAGTTTTTAAAAAATCTCTGCATTCCTTGTCTAGCAGGGCCTGTGACTGATGGTCTCCACATGCTACCTGGGAGCTAAAGAGGAATGGCAGCTGTGAGCACCCTGTTGGGGTAAGCATGGACTTTGGGCTCTTTGGGATTACTCTCAGGGCCCACCTGGCCTCCCCTCTCCTCACCAGGGGAGGCCATCCCAAGCCTGCCTGGTCCCAGTTATCATCCTCTGTCCTCAGTGTTGGGATATTTGTGTCCCTGTTCACCCCAAGCAGCCTCTTCCTGGCTCCTCAGGGACCCCAATAACATCCTGCCCCTGGTGTGGGTCACCAGCTCTACCAATTTCCCTGTTGCCCAGCCATGCTTGGACATGTCCTATACGGCTGGCCAGCCTCAGGCATGGAGGTGCCCTCTCCCCTATGCCACTGCTAACCAGCACACATCTGCTTGCAGCCTGCTGAGGCAGAGTGCCAGGAGGGCAGCCAGCCCTACACCCCGCTACCTGCATGTGTCCCCCTGGTGGGCTGACAGCAGTAGGGCCTCACTCACTCGTGTCCGCCGCCAGGCCTATGCGCGCCTCTACCCAGTGCTACTGGTGAAGCAGGACGGCTCCACCATCCACCTCCGCTACAGGGAGCCACGACGCATGTTGGCGGTAAATGTCCCTCCCCCACACTCCAGAGGCTGCGCTGGAGGGAGGCCACAATGGCTGGGCTGAGGCTTAGTCCCCTTGGGTGGACATGTAGCTGCAGTCACTACACCACCTACAGGAGGAGAAGGGTTCAGACCCAAAGCTCATTCATTCTGAGCACCAAAGTCAGATAGGATAAATGTGTGTTTTAGACATATCAAGTCTGGGAAAAAGAGCAAATTTCTCTTAAGAATTAAAGCTTTGGACAGGCACGGTGGCACATGACTATCATCCCAGTACTTTGGGAGGCCAAGGCGGGAGGATCACTTCAACCTAGGAGTGTGAGACCAGCTTGGGCAACATAGTGAGACCTCATCTCTACAAAAAAATACAAAAATTAGCTGGGCATGGTGGCGCATGCCTGTAGTCCCAGCTGCTCAGGAGGCTGAGGCAGAAGAATCGCCTGGGCCCAGAAGGTTGAGACTACAGTGAGCTATGATAGCACCACTGCACTCCAGCCTGGGTGACAGAGTGAGCCTCAAACTAAAAAAGAACAAAAGCTTTAAAGGAAGAGAAAGACCAAGCAAACATAAAAATCGATCTGGCGTTAGAGTAGAAGACAGAAGTGGGGAGGAGGGCCCAGGGCTGTTGTCCAGGTGGACCTTGAGGACCTCAGCCACCTGAGTGCCCCTGGCCTCTCCCTCTGCAGATGCCAGTTGACCTGGATGCCCTATCTCCCGAGGAGCGCCGGGCCAGGCTCCGTAGGCGCGAGGCCCAGCTCCAGCCCAGGAAGGAATATGAGCAGGAACCAGGTGACGACCTTGACCTGGAACGCTATCGGCGGGTCTGGGCTCGGCCCAGGAAGTGACTGCTGCTTGAGCTGCCCAGGGTGCCTCTGAGCAGAAGGGCACGTCCTTAAACACACCTTCTCAAAGCCTGATTCCTGTGTCTTCCCTCTCGGCATGCCTGGTCCCAGCTCTATCCCGAAAGGCACCAGCTCAAACATAGAGGGTTCAGGACAGACGCAGAGGTCTGGCTGAGTTGGGTGAAACCTTGGGGACACCACTCTGGAGCTGTGGTGCATGGAAAGCCAGGGAGGCAACACCACACACCACCTTCCCAGCCCCAGGAGCAGCCAGGTGACTGCTGTCTTGCCACCATAGCCAGATCAGGGTGGTGCTTACGAGGGGCCGGTGTTCTGGTACCAGGGGCCATCCTTGGCCAGGCTCTCCAGCTGTGCCTGCCCCTGCCTGCACCCAGGCTGCCCAAGGGGGGTAAGTCTTGCCCCTCGGAGGGCTCCCAGGGAAGCAGCCAACCCGGATTGTCCCTGACTCCTGGTATAGTCTGCAGAGCACTGCAGTTACACAGCCTGAGACCCAGACCTGCTCCATCTTTCCAGGGATGGACTAATCCCACAGCTCCACCAGACATCAAGGACACTTCACACGCCATTTGCCAGACCAGGCCTGCTCCCTGTCCCTGTCCTGGATGTCTTAGGGCCCTGGGCTGCTCCCTGTCCCCATCCGGGGGTGTCTCAGAGCTTTGGGCTGCTCCCTGTCCTTGTTTTAGGACATCTCAGAGCCCTGGGCTATACTGGGGTGTGTTTGGGTCTGGATGCTCAGTGACATGTGGAATACCCATCTGAGCAGGTGGGATAGGTATAGAATGTGGGAGGCGACAGGGACGTTTCTGTCCCCTGTACAAGGCGGCCTTTGCAGTGATAGGGCTTGTAGCTGAGGAACCTGAGCAGAGCCCTTCCTCGCAGGTCCTTCTCTGTTCCCAGAAATCTGTTCCTGGCCTCTCTGCTTAGCTGTCCCCCAGCTCTACTGAACAGGGCCTGCAAAGGACACCCCCATCCCCACATCTATCCCTGTGACCCATGGTGCTCAGCCTCACATCAGTGTGCTACATGGCCTTGCCAAGGGTGGTCTGGCCTGCCAGTAGCTCTGCCCTACGTGGTTCCACAGCAGCCTCCGTGGAGCCCCTGTCCCTGTGGCCTCCTGAGCTGGACACTGGGCCACGTTGTCTGCACTGGCTCTGCCCCCACCTCTCCCCAGCAGCCTCCACTGTGCCCAGCCTTCACACTCCTGACCACCACATTCCTGGCCCAGCTTGGCACCTGAGGACCTCCATGTCCAGTGCCCCCAGCAGGCCCCAGGCCTGGTAGCCTCCAGCCCTGTGGCCCCTCTTCCAGTGGCTGATGTCTTGTTGGGCTAGCAGGCTCAAAAAGTGACCTGGTCTCCACAGACCTCTTCCTCCTCCTGGGTCCTGGTCCTCATTGAGACAGGTGGCTGCTCCTTCCTCACAGTTGCTCAGCCCAGAGTCCTGGGCTCCTGGTCCCCATCCACTAGGCCCGGAACCCACGCTCCCTTCTTGGTGGCCTGACACTGCAGCCTGCCTGCCCAAGTGGCCCAGCTGGTAGCAGTGGCCCTGGTGAGAGAAGCTCCTGGGGGCCTCCCCTGGAGATACCTGGTTCTCTACACCTCCCCTCCCAGAGGCTGCGCTTCTTCCCTCCTGCTGACTCCTGCACCATCCAGCCCGCCTCTGCCTGGGGAAGTTCAGCTCGTCCTGGGTCAGGCCCGGGTGACATGGCCTGAACAGACCGAGGAGGGGTTGCTACGACAGGCCAGAGACAGCCAATCAGAAGCAGCCAACGTCGCTTCCTCCCGGTTCTGCAGGCTGAGCTGTGTCTGGAGTACCTCTTTTCCTCCCGCTTCCTGAGCGATGCTGGGGGCACCCTACTCTGCCTGTGAAGGGTGGCCCAGAGCCCTGGGTACCCCGTTCCAAGCGCATGAGAAGCACCGAGGGCTGCCGCCCCCGGCGGTGGGAGGGGAGGACCCGAGGTCCAGACAGCTCGAGGGCCGTGTTCTGGCGACGGTCTGAATTCCGTCTCGGGCTTGCATCCGCAGGGGACTCGCGTCAGGTCTCGGTTCCCGGTCAGGACAGAACGAGCGCAGGAGGAACCAGGGCCCCAAGCAGCGGGCTCGACGACGGCGCTCACGGCGGAAGACTCAAGACTGCTCGCGGGGCCCCGTTCCTAAGGCCGAGGAGCCCGGTCACCTCCCAGATGCTGGCCCTCAGGACCAGCACCAACCCTGACGGGTGTGGTCACGGGTCTCGAGGACGAGCGGCTGGCCGGGGCTAGAGGAAGGGAACCGCTGAGGGCAGGAGTCGGAGAAGTTCTCGCCCACCTCAGCACGGGAGCCACCAACTGCAGGAACACGCACACTAGGGGACGCCCGGCGCCTGGACATGGCCACCGCTTCCGCTCGGGGGGGACCCACACCAGATCTCGGTGGCACCTGAAATGCCCTAAACTGTGTCGGCCCCGCAGCACAGATCTTCGTCCCCACCCCTCACGGGCCGCCCCCATCTCGAGGCAGCGCACACTGCGCCTCTCCCTACGCCTTTGCGCCACCAGTCGCTCGAACACAGCTGGCCACGGCCGGCGCGCCCCGAGAGCCCCCAGAGCCCAGCAGCCCGCGGGCGGAGTGGAGCAGTGCGCAGGCGCTCAGGGCCGCGGTGTGGGGAATGCGCAGGCGCACAGGGCGTAGGTCAGGCGGTGCGCTGGCCGTGAAACGCTGCGCTGCGCAGGCGCGCGCGACGGGGCCGAGCCCTGCGTGGCCGTGACGTCACGGCGTGGAGGTGGAATCGTCCTGCGTTCGACGTTCGGGAATCGCGGGTCTCTGGCTACCCTGGCGCCATGTTCGGTTCCAGCCGCGGCGGGGTGCGCGGCGGGCAGGACCAGTTCAACTGGGAGGACGTGAAGACCGACAAGCAGAGGGAGAACTATCTGGGTGGGTGGGCGCGCGGGCGGGCGAGGCCAGGGTCCGCGGTGGGTGGGGTCCAGGGGATCCAAGTCCTCGGGGGACGGGCGGGGAGGCTCTGGGATTTCCGTGTCTGCGGGGACAGGGCGGGGTCTCATAGTCCTCGGGGGCGGGCGGACGAGGCCTCGCGGTCCACGGGACGTGGGCGGGAACGTTAGAGTCCGCGGGCACGGGCCTCACGGCGCCTCCGTCTTCAGGCAACTCGTTGATGGCACCCGTGGGCCGTTGGCAGAAGGGACGCGACCTCACCTGGTACGCCAAGGGCCGGACGCCGTGCGCCGGGCCGAGCCGCGAGGAGGAGCTGGCGGCCGTGCGCCAGGCGGAGCGCGAGGCGCTGCTGGCCGCACTGTGAGTGCCTGAGGGCTGCCCGGACGCTGGGCCTCCGGTGCTGCTTGGTGGGCGGGACAGAGCGGAGCGGGGGCTGAGTGGAGGGTTCCCGCGGTGGGGCGGTGGTGGAGGGTCCGCAGCGTCCCGATGCGGTCCCGGCTCTCTCGCAGTGGCTACAAGAACGTGAAGAAGCAGCCCACGGGCCTGAGCAAGGAGGTAAGTCCTGGGGGTGGGCGGGGTCCAGTCGGGGTTGGGGGGAGCAGTCCGGAGCGCCCTCTGAACCCCTGCCCCCTGCAGGACTTGGCGGAGGTCTGCAAGCGCGACGGAGGTGACCTCGAGGAGAAGGGCGTGGACCGCCTGCTGGGCCTGGGCAGCGCCAGGTGCGGTGGGGCCTGGGGATAGGGAGGCCCAGGCTGGGCCGCGATTTTGGTGAGAAAAGGGACTGGACATCGTCATTGCTGTGTCCCTGCAGTGGCTCCGCAGGCCGTGTGGCACTGTCCCGGGAGGACAAGGAGGCCGCCAAGCTGGGGCTGTCCGTGTTCACGGTAACCTTCCCTCACGCGCGCAGTCACTGAGTGGGGGGCGGGGCTCCTGAAGCGCTCGCGGCGGTGTCCGGCATCCGCAGGCCCCCATAGCGCACTTCACCCGCAGCACCACCGCGTGGAGAGCGATGGGCCCGGGACCTCGACAGCCACGGCCAGGAAGAAGCTGCGCGCTGAGGACCAGGCAGAGAGCAGGTGAAGCAACGCCAAGTCTACGCTGTTGACTGGCCATTTCTAGCTTGTCGCCTGGAGTTTCTTGGGTCACCCTAGAAGGCCCCAAGCTCAGGGCTGCTATGGGCACTCCAGGGCTTCTCTGGGGGGTGAGCCTGGGCCTGCATGAGACCTGAGAGACCAGAATGGCCCGGGTCACAGCCACCCTAGGGGTGCAAGTAGGACAGGATGGGCTGGTCAGCGCTGTTTGGATAGGACGTGTGGTATCCATCTTGTCCCCCATGGTAACCACTGGCTGTGTGACTACACTGTATTGGAATTTGTACGCTAGACTAGGGAGCAGGGTGTTTTATGTCCTTTAATTGATGGGTAAAGACATGCGTGAAGGCAGTGGTCTCTCCTTGGTGGGACCCACCTCCTGGTTCTACTCCTGTCTCCAGGCTGGGGACCAAGGCTCTTTCTTGTGTGTCCCCCCTCAGCCCTGAGAGCCACAGGAAAAGAAAGAAAGAGAAGAAGAAGAAGAAAAAACACAAGAAAGAGAAGAAGAAAGACAAGGAATACAAGCGGCAGGCTGAGGCCTCCGTGTCCCCTGCATGGTAGGCCTAGGCCTGTGCTGCCTCTTGGGGGATGGAGTCCTGGTTGGCCCCTCTCAGTGTTTCTGGACCCCTGATCTCCCCAGGCCTGGGCACCACTGCCACGACTCCGACTTTGACGGCCCCTGCTGCAAGAGAAGGAAGCACAGCCATAACAGGGACAGCAAGAAGAGCCTACCTCAGAGGCAGCATGACACAAACTGATGGCTAAGCCCTGCACCCCACTCACTGTGGACTCCTTGAACTCTCACATACTAGCCTCAGAAAAGCCCTGTTTGGTGAGGCAATAGTGGCTTCCTGGGCCAGGCTGACACCAGCCCTAGCCCAGAGTGGGCCAGCCACCTAGAAGGAACCATTCTGGAAGCCTGCAGACTAGCAGTACACTGAGGCGCATGTTTCGGCCTGCCACTTGGTCAGGTCTTGCGGCAATAGTCCCTGGCTAGCAGGTGGAGGCAGGCCTGCTTTGGAGATCCTAGCAGAGGCCAACTCCCTCTGTCCTGTTCGTGGCTGCAGCAGTCCTGGGCCCTCTGAGAGGTGTGGCTCTGGCCAAGGATGGTTACCTCTATTTTTCTTTATATTGACTCTTTGTACTTAAATAAATTTATTTTAAAAGTATGTGATGGTCCTAGTTAGGGTTGGGAGGTCAGCACAAAGAAGCCCCTAGAAGGAGGGTGGGTAAGCTGGGTGTCCTGCTCCATGTCGTGGGGGTAGAAGACTGGGTGTGTCCCACTCCCCTGGCCCCAAGAAGAGTCAGGGTGCTGGGGACTTGCAGGGTGTGGCAGGAACAGGTGGCACCCTGGCTGGATGCTTCATGTGCTCTTTTTTCATGTGAGGCATGGCTCATACAGTCTTGACGTCTGCATGCATCATGTGGCCCACCTGGGTGAAGACTGAATGAGATTGGGTGCCATCCAGGGAATGAAGGTCAGGGCACTGCTTCCCAGTCTCACCAGGGCAGCCTCCTTGGCCTCTGGTGGTCACACTGCAAGAACAGAGATCTCTCTGGCAGCTCCCCCATGGCACCTTGAGGGGAGATGGAGGCTGTGCCCACCTTGTGGAGAGAGATTCTTCCCTGGTTGGCACAAAGCACCCTGTGAGTGGGCAGTGGACCCAGCACCAGGCTGAGTTAGGCCAAGGCCTCCCACAGTGCTCACTAACCACATCTCACTAGCCAGGCAGGACAGGACGGTAAGCAGAGATGAGCCAGGTCACCATGCTGGAAACTCAAGTTCTCTCTCACATGGAAGCACCCATACACTCAGCAGGTGGGATAGGGAGCCGGTGTGCTCCCCTCATCCTCTGCTGTGGGCAGTCTGCAGTGTGAGGCACCAAGACCCGTGGAATAGTTAAGAGATTTTATTCTAATAGCTATAATTACAGTGCTTGTCTGTTGAAATGAAAACTGAAAACAAGTATACAAAACAGTTGATTACTAATCGTGTAT